GAAGCGGGCAGAGGAACCAGCCCGGGATGCTGTCCCGGGGAGGCACGCCTCCATGCGCCCCGGCACCCGTCCTGCACCTCCCAGGGCGGCCCACACCTGAGCTGGCGAGAGCGGTGCTAAGGGCATGGGCGGCTAAGACTCCTTGGCCGATGTTCCGGACCCTGAGCCAGCCACCCATGAGGGTCACCCAGCTCCTCCCCAAATGAGGGCAGGCGAGCCAGGAGGGGCTCTAGTGCCTGCCTCTTCTCTCCTGCCCCCTCCATGGGCCAGTCTCAAGGGTGGTCCTGACTGGCTCACCCCCAAGGAGGGCAGACTGCCCCCCCCCATCCGATCCCCAGGGCTATCAGAGACTCGGGAGAAACACAGGGAGGGGAGGGAAGCGTGCTCTCCCACCAGGACCTCTGGTCCTTCTCTAGGTGCCTGGGGCCTGCCCCCAGACCTCCTCCAAGGTCCTCAAACTTCACAACAATCCCAGCACCTGTTCCCTTCACCTCTCTGCACCTGCACCCCTCAAATCTCCCATCTTCTTCCAGCTCTTTCTTCAGTTCCTTGGGCAAACCAACCCCCAGCTCCCTGCCTCCTCCCCACCCTCCTCTCCCACACAGAGCCCCCAGATGTGCCTGTCCCCCACCCCCAAGTTTCCCTTGGGTCTCCATCAGAACGCCCAGCCTTCTTCCTTCCAGAGTCTCCCAAATTCGCGCCGGCTTTCCCCAGGTGTACCATATCCTCCCAGCTTTCCCCCCGGACGTCCCCCAGATGGCTCCCGGGGTCCTCCCGGCCCTCCCGGGGGGCTATTTCCAGCGGGGACCCTCCCCGCCCCTGGGCCTATGGCCCCGGTCATCACTCTTAGGGCCTCCAGGCACCGGGCGATAGCTGAGGGCCGGCGGCGCGCGTCCTTCCCCTAGGTTCTACAGTTGCATGGAAAGCGTCAACCAGGGGTCCCAGCTAGTCTTTTCTGGGGCCTTTAGTTACGGCAGGAACTTCTCTGCTTGGTCCCCGGCCGAGCCAGCCCTGTGACGGCG